CAGGTCAGTTGGGTGCCACTATAGTAGTCCAGGCAAGAGGTGGCAGTGGCCAAGTGGTCCTGACTAGGAGGAGTCAGCTCTTTATTGGTTGTGTTGTTGTTAGTTACCTTCAAATTGATTCTGATATGTTAGGGTACCTCAAAATCTATTCTTTATCAGCATCCTCATATTTCTTTCAAACTCTCCTCTGACAATTGCTAGCTCATGCTCTTATCCCTCTGTTCTCAAATAAACTTTCATATACATGCAATTATTTCTTTTCAATGGCTCTATTGCCTTTAACTGACATGTCTAGGTCAAATGACTTTACACCCTTCAGTTGTCCTCAATGTACTTCTTTTTAGAGTTGGCTGTAGAAGAGACTGTGCGTTGGATTAGGAAGCAGAGAGCAATTGTTTGACTTTGTTCTGGAACTGATTGGCAGTGCAACACTACACAGGTCACATCTTTCTTGACCCCCGATGAAACTAAAACTAAATTCATTGCCATTTAGTCAGTTCTGACTCATTATGAACCCATGTGTTATGAATTAGATATATTTTGTAGGTTTTTTTTGTCTGTAACCTTTATGGGTGCAGATTGTCAGGTCTTTCGTGTGTGGGGTAATGGTGGGGTTTGATCTGCCAACCTTTTGATTAGCAGCCTAGCACAAATTACTTGGACCACCCAGGGAATGGGAACTGCTATAATCAGAGCAATTTAGTCTCATAGACTCAGTAATGGGTTGAACGGTATCACTCCAAAATATCCATCAACATCAACTAAGCTACAGTTCTTAGTATTGTGTAAATCTCTATATGTATTGCAAATCCTAACCTCTAGAATGTTATTGTAGGAGCCTCAATGGCTTAATGCGTTACATGTTTTGGGCTTATTACTGCAAAATCAGAAGTCCAAACCCACCAACTGTTCTTTGGGAGACAGATGAAGAAAAAGCTGTAAATTAAGAACCATAGAGAGCAGTTCTCCTCTATCCCTCATAGTAGTAATGAGTTAAAATCTAAGAGAGAGCTGTAAATTTGATGTTAATGAGGATTTATTAGAGGCACCGTATTCATGAAGGGGGATAATTTGATGTATAGAAAAGATAAACCATGTGAGCTGAGAGCAGAGGGACAAACTACCACTAAGAAAGAATCAGGAGTGCAAGTCCTTTGGACCAAGGTTCTCTGTGCTGAGACCCGTCTAGACTCGGGGGAAAATTGGTGCTAGGACTTACGTAGATCTCCGAGTAATGTTGGATCCATAGCTATTAAAAGTGCACAAGGATCTTGCCTGGGAGTCTCCAGAAAGACATAGCCTTTCCCCTGTGCTTCCATCCTGAACTTGGACGTCTACTCTTCTAAGCTGTTCAAGAATAAATATCTGTTTGTTTAAGTCGCCCACCTTTGTCTTTCGGTGATAGCAGCACTAGCTAACCAAGTCAAGTTCTTCAAGGGGAGATAATGTAGAGGTAAAATCGTTTTGTACCATTTTACATATATGGACTCACTTTCACAACATTCAAAATTCTTTTCATCACTTATTGAAGAATAAAATGAGACGGCCCCTGCTTTCAAACCCCCAGTCAGTGAATTATGATGCTTGATGATCCAGTATGATTAGATCATACTATCTAATGATGCAAATCTAAATATCTCTGGGCCCAGCTGAAGATCCTCTCTATTGCCCCTTATCTCATTTAATTTATGGAGTTCCTTGACCAGCAAGAAACATAACATACCTTTAAGAGAGAATAACTCAAAAAATAACAGCATGAGTCGGAGACACATTTACATGCAGTCACCAAACTGCACATGCACACAACTATTTATATGGATGTCTTGGATGGGTTGGGTGCATGTTGAAGGCATAAGGAGCTATTTTAAGCACCGGCAGTTGCCAAGTGGTGTCATAGCATGCTGAAAACAAAAGCTCTGCGACCCACAGGCCATTTCCAAGCTCGGGGTCTCCCTCGTTGTGACTCCTGGAAATGCCACTTAACTGTTCGGAGTCTGTTTACACAGCTGTAGAATGGGGATCAAACGCGTTTCATTAAGCTGTTCTAACAGTTCAATGAGATCCTGTGGACAAATCCTCTAATTGAGTGTCTGGCTCACAGCGAATGATAAGATATGGTTGTTGTTATGATTGCATTTGGTGCACATGTTATTATTAAGAATAGTCATCACCATATTGTTTATTATTACTTGAGTTTATATTTATAGTTGATGAAGAATTTTCTATGTAGTTGGTTCTAGAAGTTCTTTGAGGTTAGCAAGGAAAGGAGCAATGCTTTTCTTCATTTTAAGAATGAAAATCAGAGAAGCACCAAAGTCCGCTCGCTTCTGAGTGACAGGGTCTGGGGAAAATATTAAGGCCCTGGATCTACGACCAGAGTTTAATACTCTCAGCTATTTATTATTTTTTAATATTTGAGTTCCTGGGCCATGTCACGTGAATAAAAGCTTATTATTAGCCTAATGCTACCAGGGCGGGTTTGCCAGGGACTCGTCTCCTAAATGCACAGCTGATTGACATGTTTGGACACAATGCAGCAAACACTGTCATCATCTGTCTTACTCACTTGAGTGACGTTTTCCTTTCTTTTTTCTCTTCCAAGAACCAATGATGAAAAGTGCTTATAATCTTGTCATCACATCTGTCAGCAGAATTTACCAACTTGCTGTAATGCTCTCCAGTGCATTCCTCAGCAGAAGATGGAGGAATGATTAGAAATTATTGTCCATGACCACAATGACATTGCTTCCAGTTTTTTGAACCAGATTTGCCCAACCTAGCCCTGCTTTAGTTAATAAAGTATGGGAACAAAATCGCTTTCTTCCCTCCTCCTTTTACTATTCCAATGAAAGAATATTGAACATCTGGAGTAGTCAGAGTAAATATTAATATGGTTGACAGTGAGAGAAAAGGAAAAGCAAGAGGGATGTGCCAAAAGCTTAGAAAATTACTGGGCATAATGTGATTTTGGGATTACGGACCCCATTTTATGCCTGTCTGATCAATCTGAAGGCTTCATCAATAACCACACGTGATTAATTACACTGAGGGGGCCAAAGAAACTATTGGAATAATAATGTGACCTTTGGATTGGGAATGGACACTTGCATCAATGGTCCTGTTTGTGGGGTATTAAATCATTTTGAGAGAAAGCCCTAGGAGATGGTGTGTGTCAGAAATCTTTGTGTCAAAGGCAGTTTGGGTGACTGTCCCCTTACAGGTTAATAATGGTGGATTTGGAAATCTTACACTGAAGAACTATGTACTCCTTGCAGGTGAGCCTCACCATTGCTTACGTTCATCCTTGGAGAATCAGCAGAGTATAATAGTTTGGGTACAGGATTCAAATGGCCTGAGTGAGAAGACTTTGTTCAAGATGTAACCACTTGTGCATTACTTTTATTAACTGGAAAATGGAGCAAACAGTGCCTATATTATAGGATGTTATAAGAATTATTGTGTGTGAAGTACTTAGAGATAATAGTGAAAGGCACAGGTGAGCACTTAATGCCCATCTATCACTATTGTGTTTAGGCCATGGAAGGTATTATAGTCCTGGATTTATGGATTCCTACTTCTCTTTTTTCTAACATTGACTTTACAGAGTGAAAAAAATCTTAACCTAGCTCTACACACTTTGAAGGCATCGATAACTCCATGTCCTGTCTGATTCATAATTTAAAAAAAATTTACAAATAGTAACAGACAACAGAGGCAAAAGCCAAGTAATGGAGCAGAGCATGGGGGATCAGAGATCATGGAGTGTTTAGGTCAAATCCTGGTTTTGCAAATCACTACTTCAGAGATTTTGGGCCAGTTGATATCTCAACTCTGGTTTGCTCAACTCTGGTTTGATTATTCCCTATTGTTATCATGGTCTTATTGATATTTTGTATGAGTTATTTAAGTCTTAGCAGGTAAGTAGCAATTTTTAGTTTCATAAAAAATTGTTTATTGAATGATTTGATTTCAAAATACTAAATAATAATGACTGGGGACATTTTAAGATGCTTAATATGTGCTAGACACAACAGCGGACATTGCTTATTCTTCACAGCAATAATCATTGTTAATGATCTATTATTTACTAGTAGTATCAATGCCAATTCACAACTGAAGAAATCACAGCCAAGATACATGAGACAAGTTTTCCAAAGTCACAGAGGATTTGGAATTGAGCTGTCTTTTCTTTAGAAGCTGTACTTATAACCCGCACATCACAGGGCTCAGAGACCAAAATAGAAATCAAGACTAGCCACTTGCCTAAAGGTGATCAATTAGTTTCTCTATTGAGACAGGAAAAAAACACGATGGAATAAGATGACAGATACAGATTTTGCTGGTGGTGATTACTTTTTGCCTTGCTTTGCATATGCAGTGGTGGGACTCGGGCAGTTTTCAGTCGAGCAGAAGCAGTACTTCCATTGTTGCTGAGGTCCGTGGACCAGTTGTTAAAATGGATCTCTCTGAGGTGGCCAGCAGGGAGCCTCCCAATATGGAAATCACAAATTTACCTTCCTTCCTTTTTTTAAACATTCATCTGCACAGCAGCAGTGCTTTGATATCTTGTGGAAATAATAAACTCCCTTTTGCTATATTGGTTTTTATACTGAAAATGATCATTAGGACAAGAAGCCAGTTGTTAAAGTATTTGAATCCCACCACTCTGCATGTGTAATATGAGTAATACACAGATACAGTTTTTCTTGAAATTGGAAGGCATGCCATACCAGGAGTTCAACTTTACCTTGTTACACCTATAGGAGTAAATAATAAATAAGTTTTTGAATATAATTTAGAGTATTTCAGTTTTTCTGATTGTATTCTGACCAGAACCCTCCCCCCACCATCTCCGCCCCCACCAGTGACTAAGCCTATATCTAAGACCATAGATGTATTTTTCTGGGGTTGACTAGCCTTTGTAATAAAGAAATGTGTGGATAAAGCGAAAGGCATTAATTGGAAATATGCCAATTTTCTTCTTCTCTTTCTTCCTCTAGACACCAGAAGAGCTAGAGGATGATTCTGACTTTGAGCAAGAGGATTATGATGTGCGCAGTCGGACAAGTGTCCAGACAGAGGATGACCAGCTCATTGCAGGGCAGAGTGCACGGGTGAGTAGATGGGTGCCCAAGACTTTGGCTTGGTGACAGGGGTTACATTCACCAAACTGACTGGAGAATTAGTGCAAGTCTTCCTAATCCCAGATCTTGGGACCCTAGTGGTTTATGATTCATAAATCTATTTTATCCTCTGAGTTTGTATTTGTTGTTCATAGCCTGTCACATTTAAAAAAAATGATTGAAACAATCCTCACTGATCTTTGATTCCATCCAGCTGCCTTCTTTCTGTATCCCATAAAATGCAGCAGCTACACCAAGCCCATTGTATTATGTGTGATGGTTTTTTCTGGGAATTGAGGACCATGATTAGAGTAAAATAGTTGGGGACCCAGGAACACTCACATTTTGCATTAGCACTGTCCCCATTTTTCTGTGTCAATTCCCTAGCTTTTAAAAACACAACGGCAAATTAAGGATAAGAGTTTTCTTTCTTTCTTTTACTGGCAAGACCTATTGCTTCATGGGTCAATCTACGTTTTCTGATAAACAGAATTTCCTCTGATGACCTTGGTTCAGGATTATCAGAGCAGAGAGAAAACTTAGTTTTCCCCCTGATATTTACGTATAGACTGAGCATTAGACTGAGATTTGTAAGCCACGGAATAGGACAAGAGTCTAGAGACAGATAATAGCAATGTGCTAGCTCAAGTCATGGATCAGGCATATCACTGAGAGCACTGGCTCTGCTTGACATTGACATGCTGTATAGCACAGTCCTCTAGGACAAATGCTCCCAATAGTATTCTGGAATCCAGTCCGATTACCAAATGGTCAATCAGACATATACTGAGTGCTCGATCAAAGATGGCTCTGATAATGATCATCTTTGGGAAAGATATTCAAATCACATGCTGGTCATAATAGAAATTTATAAAAAATGGGACATGAGTCCCTCTTTTAAAAATATCTTACAGACTATCTTTTCCCCCTTAAAAGATTGAAAACTGGAATGTTCAATAAGCACAGTCTTTTGAGGCTATGTTGTCTTAAAATCGAAGTAGTCAATCAATTAATCAAGTCAATACATCTTCATAATTTAGTAAAATCAACATTTGGATATCAGGGACAAAGGGTGAGTATGAGTAATTCCTGTAAACATTAATCAATTCAAAATCAATTTGCTTCACGGATTGGAACTCAGTATAGCTATAACTAAATATTCATTGACTACCTTTTTCCCCTCGAAATCTGAGTCATGTAGTACAACTTTATCTTGCTTTCTAATCACCATCTTGTAAAAAATGACAGCATAGTTCAACATTGTAGAATGAAACATAGAATCCTTGTCCAAATCCATTTCATTCAGCTGACATGTATTAGGCATGATGTCAATGACAATAGGCAGAAACAAATGTCAGAGGGCTCCTGTCTCCATCATCTGTTATTTCTTTACACTCTTGTCACTTTTGAAAGACTTTTCAGTCTGAATTAGGAATATGGTCCAAGATACTAAGACAGGAATATTCTTTTGATCCAGCACTCACCTGGTTTGCCTTTCAGATCCAACATGTGGTCTGTGTGAATAACTGGCATCAGACAGCCTTAGAATTGAGTCAGTCTACTCCAGCCTGTATTGATAAGATGACAAGCTAGAGACCAAAATCTAGCTGTTCAGTTGGAAATAAGAAGGTGCACTGACTGGATGAGGCAACAGATGGTTGAACGTTTGAACAGGCAATTGTTAGCTTGATTAAAATCAAGAAAGAGATGAAAGTTGGCTTTGACAGAGGCAATTGCTCTTTCCAGCAGCCAGACCTCCTTTATTGTTGTTGGGTTTTTTAATTTGTTTGTTTTTAAATCATTTTATCGGGGGCGTGTACAACTCATCACAATCTATACATACATCCATTGTGTCAAGTACATTTGTACATCTGTTGCCATCATCATTCTCAAACATTTGCTCTTCACTTAAGCCCTTGGTATCAGCTCATTATTTTTCCCCCTCCCCCCCTGCCCCTCTCCCTTACAAACCCTTGATAATTTGTAAATTATTGTTATTTTGTCATATCTTATACCATCCGACGTCTCCTTTCACCCACATTTCTGTTGTCCATCCCCCAGGGAGGGTCTTATATGTTGATCCTTGTAATCGGTTTCCCTTTTCTACCCAACCTTCCCTCCACCCTCC